AAAAAGTTAAAGGGAGACAAATGAAAAGGGAGAGGAGAAAGAAGAAAAAGTGGAAAATGAATAGGATATAGGAGAATGAAATCAGGTGAAGAAATATAGATAAAAGTAGGATGAATATAGAGACAAGGGAGAATGCCCTTGTATATATATATATATACATATATATATATATATGTATATATATATATGTATATATATATAATTTGTGTATATATTTATATAATTTCCCTTGTCTATAATGTATAATATAGTTCTATAAATTACATTGAAAGAAAAAAGGCAAGAGGAAGAGAAGCACACATACACAGACATACTCATAAAAGAAAAAGGGGTAAAATGATAGAATAAAGTATGAGGGGAAATGCGCAGAAGGAGGAAAACAGCAAAGAATAAAAAATTAAAACTTAAAAAAATAAAAATAATAGAATCAAATAAAGAAAAATAAAAGAAAGTTTTCTATTGTTTTGGACACATGGCTCTTTTCCTCAGCCTAGACTTAAGGGGCAGAGAGCTCAGGCCAGGATGTGTCTCTGTTCACACTGGAAATCTAAGGTGGTGGTATGCCCCCAGAACAGCGCTGGGAGTAGATAGAGATCTGCTTGCAGAGATGCCCTTGCATTGCCAGTGTGAGCTTCCAGTGCTGTATAACTCAGGTTGAACCTGGGCTCTGACAGCAGGAGCCTGTCTGTGTTTACTGTCTCCAGCCTCTCAGCAGTACTCTCTGCAGTCTACTCTCCAACTACTGCCAGTGTCCTGTGATTGTCTTTCCCTCATCCACTCTGGGAAATTGGCTGCTCTGGGACCCAGGTTCAAACACTCAGCCCTTCCCTGCAGTGGGAAGGCTCTTGCCACTCACCGGCTCTTGCTCTGTGATTGAATGCTCTGGATGCAGTGTCCCATGTTCTCCCTGCTGGTTCCAACTGATGATGATTCTTTTGGTCCTGATGCAGTTCTCCAGTTCTCCATTAGCAGAGAAGTTGTTAGTTTCAGTTTGCCTCCCAGCTAGCTGGTGGCTAGCCAGCTACAGGTGGCAGTGCTGAGTGGTCTTTCCTCTACAGTGATAGCTGTTTCTCCTGTATCACTTAATCCTATTTTCTTCTCCTCTGTCACTTCCCTCATGGCTTCCAGGTAACCTCCACTCACTTTGGTTCCTCTCCACATTATTGTTTTCCAGACTCTAGATACTTTTTGCTGGAGAAGCTGAGTTGCTGGTACTCACTGTGCCATTTTGGGACTCCTCTCTCTATTCCGTTTTGACAACACCACTACCACTATATCCTGATTTAGTTTTTTTTGTTTGTTTGTGAATTTTATATTGTCCTAAAAATCAGAGCAGTATGAAAATATATACTTAGGGCTGGGTATGGGCATAGCTCAGTGGTGCAGTACTTGCCAAACATGTTTGAGGCTCACTGCAAATATAGACAGACAGACAGACAGACAGACAGACAGATATTCAAAGAAATATTACTTTGTTTTTATTCCTTGTATCGATTTTCTATTCTCATCTTACCTCCTATAAATTATAAAATCCCTTTCAATCTTTCAATATATTCCTGTACTTCATGTATAAATGAGCAAATATGTACATACATAAACCCCTTTTTTCTTATATGGTATGGCATACTTGAAGGTAGAGACTTTTTGCACTTAGCTTTTTATGGCTCATAGATATTGTCCTTATCATTTTTTACAGTTCTACAATATTACACTGTGTGGATATACCATAAGTTGTTCAACCACTCTCCTATGTACGAGCATTTATATTATTTCCAGTATTTCACAATTACAAATAGTGCTATCACAAACTTTTGTATATATATTTCTAGAAGTGGGATTGCTGGCTCAAATGGTGAGTGCGTATATCATTTTATCAGGTATTGCCAAATTCCCCTTTATATCCCTACAGTTATGTATGAGTATAACTGTTTCCTCACATTCTCATCATCAAAATGCGTTGCCATACTTTTGATTATTTTGCCAGTCTGATAGATGACAAATGATACCTCTATATTTTAATTTGTGCTTCTCTATTTTCAAGGAAGTTTGAACATTTTCCTCATGTATTTGAAAACATTTTGTATCTTTCTTTTTTAAAAAAGCTAGCCCATTGTGCTAATTACTTTTCTTGTTGCTCCAACAAAATACCTGACACCCAAAGTTTAGGGAAGACAGTTTTATTTGGCTCACAGTTTGAAGAGGTTTCAGTTTATAGTCAGCTGGCTCCAAGGCAGGATGTCATGGCCAACAACCATCCTAGAGGAGAAAAAGTTAATGGCAGACAGAAGGTAACAAAGCAAGCAAGGATTATTAGCAACCTTTTTTAACCCCTTTTATACTTTATCTAGGCTACTGGGATTAGGGAATTGCCAAACTAATCAGTGGACTGATTTAATAATCACCAAGCCTTAATCCCAGCATCACACACTCTACCTTCAGCTACCTCTGAAAAAGCCCTACCTCTGACCATATATGGTTTAAAGGAACATATAGACACAAGCCACAGCAGCCATTTTAATGTTTTTTTAAAAATATCTTAATAAAATTTTTTGTGGCTATAGATACATTGAGCTGTTTGGTAGTATTTAGAAACATCACAGTAATGGTGGTTTTCCTGATTGGTTTATAATCCTCAATAATTATAAGGAATTACTTGTGGGAAACTTCAGTTAAACAAGTAAGATTCCATTTCTCCACCCTTCATGTTCAGGATTGCTGGTTATGTGAGCACCATGCCCCCTGCCCTGCCCAAATCTTGCCTCCTGATTTCATAGGCCCTACTTATTCATATTTACCTTACTGATGATTCCTCTTGTAATAACATGCAAAGTCATATACAGTGGGAATGAGGGATTCTTTTTCAAACCAGGAGTTGGCAGACAAAAGGGGGTGTTCGGTTTAGGACATGTCCCCAAGTCTTCTTGGAATATAAGCCTGCCTACCTAGTGAATCTTTCATATTAGTTGGTTTACTCATAAATTCATCTCCAACAAAGCACGTTACTTACCATCCTCTTCAATGCCTTCTTTTTTCACCTTCCTTTTTGAATAACATAATACTTCTGTTTCTCCGTCGGTATGAACTCTGTCCCATGGCTGAGGGACTTCCCATTTTACCATCTTTTCTTTTTCATTTTTGTTTAATCATATTGGAAAGTACTTTTGCACAGCATGATCCTTCTCTATGTAGCAGATAGATACTGCTCCTGTCTTTTCATTGTCCTTATGTTGATGTATCTTTTTTTATGAATCTTAATTTTTTATTTTGGTGCTGTGGATAGAAACCAAGACCTTTGAAAACTCACTGAGTTACCACTGAGCTACCCCCAGCCCCAACTACTTTTTATTGGTATTTTCTCAGCATGACAGTTTTTATAATAGAGGTTTGCTTTCAGGCCAATTTTTTCTCTTGTCTTCTTCAGACAGTTTTCCTAGTTTTCTCTTTCTCAAGATGATCTAAATAACATCCAGTGTGACTGGTGTTACAGTTCAATATACTGATTTTGAGATATGGTGACAGCCACAGAGCCACCACATGCAACCTCCAGGGTTGGATGAAGCTCTGAATTTTAGAGTCTCGGAAACCCACAAGCTGATTCCATGCAGTCTGAAATGGGAAAAGGTCACTCTATGCATCTTTGGTTTGTGTTTTTTTTCAGCTTTTCCAAAGTTCTTCATCAGTTAGCAGTATTAGCCCTTTATTTGCTATTCACACTGTGAATATTTTCTTCTAGTATGTCAATTCCTTTTTTCTTTCTCTTGTGCCTATCTGGTAAGCTCCAGCTCAACTGCTGGACTTGAATGAAGCATCCCTGACATTAGCTTGGAGTTCTCTCCTCTCCTTTGAAGTTCGAGAGTACTTAGAACTTACCTTTCAGAGTATCATCATGTTTCAGCTATTTTTTGGTACTAGATTCAAAATTCCTTAAAGACAGATTAGTGCTTTTTTTTTTCTTTGTAGCTTCATAGTACCTAGTAGATGGTGTTACACTTCTTAGATTCTAAGGGAACTTATCAAATGCTTACTAAGTGAACAAGGAAATAAAAAATATGGTTTATTATAAGTAGCAAAAGGAACTACCTTGTTCTTCACTTAAATAAGTGTGTGCATGCATGTGTGTATGCTATGCTTGCACAAGCTAGGTTGGTAAGAGGTGGAGTGTCCAACAACAGAAGCTGCTACCACATCCCATCTCAAAATATCTCAATTATTTAAAGCAGGCAAGGAGTGCAGTAGTGACAGCCTGTGGAGACACCTGTTATGAAGATTCTTATTCATATACTAATAATCATAAAAATGTTTACTTATATACAATTAACTTTATAATTATAGTCTATTTATTAGTTTGCTAAGACTAATATAACAAAGTTCTATGGATTGGGTGACTTAAGTACTGGAAATTTATGGTCTTGTCCTTATACGTTAGATGTCCAAAATTAAGGTGTTGATAGAGTTGGTTCCTTTTGAGAGGCTATAGGAGAGAATCTGTTCCAGGCCTCCCTTCTGGGCTTGTAGATGAATGGCTGTCTTCATGGTCACCTAACATTCTCCTATCTATTATGTAGATTATTGGTATGTATATGTGCCTCTAAATCTCCTCCTCTTATAATGGACACAAATCATATTGAATTAAGGTCCATCCTAATGATGCCATTTTAACGCAATAACTTCTGTAATGACTGTTTCTAAATAAGGTCATATTCTGTGGTACTTGAGAGCTAGGACTTAAATGTTTGAATTGTGGGGAAGGGGGACCACAATCAACCTATAATAGTTTATATATCATGTTAGAAAGGCAGCCTATAATTATTTGTCTTTTCTTTAAAGAATTATTAACAGCAGGATTTTCAGTCAGTAGCATGCTGTCTGTGGGCTCCAGCATACCTGGGTAATATATACAGATTGTCAACATGCATGTATTTGATACAGGTCTGTGCTAAGAAGAGGATGCATTAAACCCACAGTTGCTGTGAATTCACATTGTTCCATCTGTATTGTAGGTTCCAGAATCCCCAGAAGACCTTGGGTGTGCGCTGAGACCTGAGAGGGCAGGGGCAGTGTATGAAGCTGCCACTGTGGTCGTGGACATGTCTGCATCCATCACACTGCAAGTCCTGGTCACCACCCCGGGAAACATTTCCTGTCTGTGGGTCTTTAAACACAGCTCTCTGGATTGCCAGCCACACTTTGATTTACTAAACAGGTAAGAGTGGCAGGATGCACAGCCACATGAGTTTTTGGAGCAATACTTTCATGCACAAAATATGATTCATTTGGAATGCCTCTTCAAGTTTCTGTCCATATCTATTGTAACTCTTATCTCCAGGGAAATGTTGAAGTAAAAAGAGTTAGGGCATAAACACAAGACATTAGCTAGCTACAAAACCCCACAGAATGTACAATGCACAAAGTGAACCTTAATGTATGCTATGAACTTTAGTTAATGATCATGTATCAATATTGGTTCATCTGTTGTAACTAATACACCATGCCAGTGCAAGATATTAACAATACAGGAAACTATGTGTGGCCAGAAGAGCATGTATAGAGGATATTCTTGTACTTTCTGTTCAGTTTTTCTATGAATCTAAAATGGCTCTTTAGAGCAATAAAAGTTTTTACTTTTAGGTAAAATTTGGTTATTAAAAAGGTTTATATATAAGTTTTATATATACATATATATATATATATAGAGAGAGAGAGAGAGAGAGAGGGAGAGGGAAAAAGGCAGAAAGAGAAAGAGCTAGAATAAGAGCAGTGTTGAGAGGCTACAAAATGTAAAACAAATAATGAAAAGAATGCTTGGGATTTTTAAAAAATGTCTTATTTTTAAATTGGCTATTGTGTTAAATTCAAAAAGAAAGTTTCCATTTCATTCTAGTTAAAGTAACAAGAAACTTTTTTCTGAGAAATGCTTGGGGAGAGAACATTTGGTTTTATCTATATTGTTCCATGCTATAATAAGAATTGCAATGTTGTATGACAGCCACACTCTGCTCTGTCTTAAGGAACATTGGTCTCATTATAAAAAAAAAAAAAAAAAAATCTTAGCCACAATTTGTGGCCAGTGACCAAAGTTGTATGTTAATTATGTTGATTACTGTCCTCCTCTTGCAAATGCTATCTAGGAGAAGGGGCACAAGCCATTTAAATGTCTACTTAATGATTCTAAGGCTGCTTTTCTTTTTAATTCTTGGGGATGTTCTGGTACCCCCACAGCTGTAGGGAAGGCATTGTCTTTCAGAAATAATGCAGTAAAGGATATTCAAATGGCCTGAAAAGGACAAAAACATTGGCAAACACCTTTATGACTAACTTGTGCTAGCTCTGTATTTGTATTTGTTCTTTAAGGTCAAGCAAACGCTTGTGCAATTTTTGGGGCAGTGGGTATAATTCTGAAGTTTAAGGCTAAACTTTAGAACACATTCATTTTCCTTTCCTCTTTTGAGTATGTTACCCACTTCTGGTTTTTGGTTACTTTTATCTTGGGGTTAAACCAAAATACTGTTCTATTAAGAACTTTGGCCCTGGGGCTGGAGATATATCTCAGTGATGGAGCATTTTGCTTACAATGCATGGGGCTGTGGGTTCCATCCCCAGCACTGCCAGAAAGAAAGAACACAAGAATGAAGGAAGAAAGAAATAAAAGACAAATAAGAAATACTTTTTTTTTACTTGAAGAATTTCCTGATAATCTTATTAAAATGTTATGCCACTAGATTGAGGCCAGAAGAACAAAGTAGCAAAAGTAGAGTTCTTTTCACTTCATGGAAGTTGCCTTCATTGGTGTAAGACAGACAGCCCAGTTTGTTAGTAAAAGTCATAGCTGTCCTATGGGCTAGTTAGCTTAGTACCAAGCCATTTTTGGTGACTTTTTAATAGTAAAGAATTCTAGAAGCTTATATCTGGACTCTGGTTCATAGGCAGAAAGATCAAATGCCTGACCAAGTTTTTAGGAATTCAAAATGGGGGCTGGGGGTATAGTTCAGTGGTGGAGCCCTTGGCTAACATGTGGGAAGCACTGAATCTATCCTCAGTGCTAAAGAACAAACAAAGCACATCATTAAAATCTATCTGCATAAGTAAATCAAATATATGTTCTACTAATTCACAGTCCATGTGAATGAAAGCACAGGATTCTTAAACCATGCTGCCTAGGCCTCTAAGACAAAGCTTCTTAACTATAATATGTCTTCAGATTGCCTGGGGATCTTGTAGAAATGCAGTTTCTGATGGAATAGGTCAGACTAGGACCTAAGATTCTGCATCTTTGTCAACCCGTAGCTGATGCTAACACTATTAGAGAAAGACTATGTTTTGAGTAAGTAATATGAGCTTAAAAGTCAGGAACTGTAAATTTAAATCTGACATCGCTCAAACTGCTGAAGAGCACTTTATGCCTTCAGAACAGTGGATATCACCAAATATATGTCACAATTATCTCTTTGAAGAGAATGACACTAGCCACATTCTTCAAATCAATTATTTGAAAAGTTAAAAATATGAACACTGAGACATCCTTCTCTTTATATTTATGTGGTATGTCAGTGTTATGATTACTTCACAAGAATATACCTTATATCAGATTGGCTTGGATTCTTTCATTTAGAGAGAGGCTAATTCCAAAAGGAAGAACATTTTTTATCTCAGTGTACTTTACTTGTATAATCATCTGACTCTGCAAATGGGGAGATGAACCCACTGGTCAGGTGACTGGGCTAACGGAATCGTGAAAGGTGCTTTGTCATTGATGGGAATCGCAGGCCAGTGCCGACGGGCATGCGCCAAATGCCTGTGTGTTTGGAGTCAGCAGACTTCCTTCTGAAGGCCTTGGGGAAAGTGAGCTGATTGATGGTGCATGGAGCTCATTCACGTTCTAGGATGAGACCCCTTAAAAGTCAAGGTCAAGGGCCGGGGATGTAGCTCAATGGTACCATGTCTGCCGGGCAAGCGCAAGGGCCTGAGTTCCACCCCTGGTACCAAAAAAGGAAAAAAAAAGTCAAGGTCAAAGCTGGGCATGGGGGTGGGGGGGGCTTCCTCTGGGAGGCCAAGGCAGGAGGATCACAAGTTTGAGCCTAGCTTGGACAACTTATTTAAACTCTGTTTCAAAATAGTAAAAAATAATTTTAAAAATTAAAGGCACTGGGGATGTAGCTCAGTGTAAAGGCCCTAGATTCAATTCCCAGTACTGCAGCAAAAAAAGTCAACATCAGACTAAATGCTCATGCTGTGTTGGGCCCACAATAGAAGCTGTATTCTCCACAGAGCAGCCTGTGTGCCACAGTCATAGGGAGCCACCGACCCACCTTCTGACTAAGTATGAAATTTTGTTTTTAGTTTCACACATTTTCTAAAGTAACCAGTTCTCTTTCTTGTTTTACAGAGGAGTTGTTTCCATGGTCATTTTGAAAATGACAGAGACCCAAGCTGGAGAATACCTGCTTTTTATCCAGAGTGAAGTTACCAATTATACAATATTGTTTACAGTGAGTATGAGAAGTAAGTCCAGCTTGCTACCAGATATTCCCTCTATTCTAAAGAATGGGTTTTGAACACATTCCATTTTGATCCAGGGCTCTAGACAAGGCATTCAAGCTTCTCTCAATTTGCAGCTGATTTGATTGAATTCAGGTCAGCCATCCACACGACCTGTTGAGTACTGAAACTCTTTGAAATATTCCTGTGAACCCTCAGCATGTGAATGTTCCTTAAAAAAACCTACTCTTTTCAGAGTCTCCATTTTCTTCAGTAACAGATGAGTGACAGAGAAAAACTGAGGAGTAGTTTGATTTTGGTATCAGAAGTTCGAGGCTCTGGTTGCAGTTATGCTATCTTTGGGGAAGTCACTGAGTTTGTCTGAGCCTCAATTTCCTTATCTGTCAAAGGAAGATAAAAATACAACTTCATGGGGTTTAAGGTCTCATTGTGATCCAGGATTTCCTGATGGGAAGACAATGTTTCTTGTCTGCTCTGTCCGTAGTAATGCGGCTAGTGTAACTAAGAAGTCAAAGTTTTAATTTTATTGATTTTTCATTAATATCTGTATTTAAACAGTCACACGTAGCTAATTGCACTTATATATTGGGTAGTGCAGGTAGGTGTGTGGAAATCCCAGACCATATGCAAATGGTGAGGAATAAGACAAACCCTTTTTTAAAGTTTTTAAAAATGTATTTTATTATTCACATTTGTGGTACCTAATGATTGCATCCATCTCTACTAGGAAGCAGCTGTGCAGCCAGCAGAGTTAGCACTCTGTGCTTTCTGACTTCTCCCTTCATCCCCACCCAGTACAGGCTGAGGGCTGTATATACTGCACGCACTGCTGCATCTCCCCTGATTAGAAAGGTGGCTGTGTTACATGGGCTGTGTGTCTGTGGGGGCCGGGTAGCGCTTTGCACACTATGGGTTAACACCCCTTGAGATGAGCTTCCCTGGCCACCATCAGAACAGTTCCCTGGGCGGAGAGATAGGGGTGGCACCTTGTGTGTGCAGCCTGAGGGTCCCTGGGTCAGGAAGACCACAGTTACTTTTTGCTGATGGTGCTCTGTATGAATCACTGCAGATGCTCACAATGATCCCACCTCCTCAGAGATATGAAAATAGACATCTGAGATGTGGGGTGATGCACAGCTAGGGGCTACACTTTCTGCACCTCACTGCCTTGGGCCTTATGTGAGAGTATGTGACTGTACAGCTTCTGACAGAGGAGCTCTTTAAATTCCCAGAAGGGTCACTGGTGGTTAAGATGGGTGTTAGGGTTTCAGAGTCAGCCTGTAAGGCAAAATCAGGTAACATCAAAATTTGTCTTGCAAAGCCCTTCAGTTACTCTGAAATTGGGAGGGCCAGAACTCTAGGAGTGCAAAATCCAAAAGTTGCCCTTTTTTGTTCTCTGGTTTTAGTCTTGATCTGTTCCTAGTTCCTGTGTTCCAGGTTGGAAGAGGGTAAGGGATATCCTTCCTTCCTTCCCTCCCTCCCTTTTTTCTTCTTCTCCTCCCCCGACAAAGGTACATAGTTGTATAAGATAAAAGGGTATCTGCCTTTTATATTTAGAGTATCTTTCTTTCACATAAGATTTACAGTGCAAAAAAATAACAATAATCATTCAAGTCAGTTATAACTTTTTTAAAGCATTATACTGTGAGGTGAGGTTTAAACCAAAAACAAAAATGAAAATCAGGTGGGGAAATAGTGTGAAAGTCAGTCCATGCTCAGTATGTACCAAAAGTACACTGAACCTCGGCGGTGTTTATGAAAATGTAATGTCAGCGTCAGAAAATAAATACATTATTATTTTCATTTATGTATTTTTTTTCAGGTAAATACGGACAAAATAAGGCAACCAAAATAGTGAAGTACTTAGAATGCCTTAAATTAGGAGCAGTTCAAGGAATTGGGAACATTTAGCACAGAGAAGGAAATATTGTGAGGAGTAGAGATTGATTATAGTGTGTTATAGAAGAAGTTCTTTTAGTATTTAAGTCAGAAACCTGGGCTACCTAGTTAAAATACCTTGAATGGTAATTATCTCCCTTGATCTTGGTTTCTAATTTTATTTTATTTCTTTATTTTTGGGGTACCAGGGATTGAATTCGGGAACATGCTCTTGGGAGGCAAGCAGCAGAACCACTGAGCTAAATCCCCTGCCCTCTGATTTTAAATATTTAAGGGATTGTTATCTGGAAGCCAAGCTAGACTTTAAAAAATTGTTTAGAGAGTAGAATTGAGACCAAGAGTTAAAAATTACAGGGAGAAAAAGTAAAGCCAATTAGGCAGAGTTGTGTATTCTTGTAATCCCAGCTGTTTAGTTGGCTGAAGCAATAGGGCCACAAATTCAAGGCCAGCCTGGGCGACTTAGTAAAATTCTGTCTTAAATCTAAAATTTTTTTAGAAGATCTAGTAGGGATGTGGCTCAGTGTTCCCTGGGTTCAATCCCCAGTACTACTAAATAATAAACAAACAAACAAACAAATAAAACTACCACAAAAAGGGACAAGATATCAACAAAGAATTAATAGTCATAATAGTCATATTATTTAAAGAGCTTTTATAAATCAATAAGAAACAAAACAATTTTTTAAAAAGCAATAGGAAATGAACCACAGACATGAGTGATAATTTTATTTCTAGAAAATAAAAAATGAATGATGTATAGATATCTGTTAAAAGATAAACTTAGGCACATTAAACATTTAAGTGTTTTAAGCAGTTATTCATGAATCCCGCAACACCAGCTGTTAAGTGATTGGGTTCCACTAAGGGGATTTGAGGGGAAGATTTTTACAAAGTATTAATAGCAGCAAGACAAATACAATATCTGATAGGTTAAAAGTGGAAAATTTGTAGTCAGTCAGCAGGGCTTTTTTTTTTTTTTAATCTATAAAGCCTCTAGTTAGAAGCTGGTTGGCAACTTCTGGTGGTTAAGCTCAAGTTTAATTGTGCTGCTTACACTGAGTTGGGTTTTGGTTTGCTTATGCAGGAACCCAGGATACTGAAACCTCTGGAACCATCTCAGCCTAATGGGTTCCCAATTCATTATTTGTTTGTTTGGTTGACTAGTGTTTTTGAGACAAGGTCTCATTATGTATTTCAGACTGGGCTTGAACTCACTATGTAGCCTACACTGGCCTTGAACTCATAGCCATCTTCCAAGTGTCAGGCTTACAGGTGTGCACAACCACACCCAGCTCCAGTTAATTATTTTAATACATGGTAAATTAATAATTGAGCAATAAAATTAAAATCACAATCAGATGATAGTTTTTACCCATTAAAAAATTAGTGGGTTGAAAAATTTTAAAGTCTTGATAAGTATATAAAGCTCAGGAATTCTCACATTTTGGTTTGTAAGTGTAAATTAATTTACTCACTCTGTCATAATTTGCAAAGCAAGCTGAACATGTTTATACCATGTCAAACCACATTCCCACTCCTAGGTATTTTATTAAAGAACTATTACACAAGTGCCTTGTAGAAAAGTCTGGAACATTTATAGCACCATGGTTGATAATATGAAAAACTAGAAGAACTCAAATGTCTACCATGAGAAAATGAACAAATAGACTGTGATATATTTACCAATGGAATACTGTTTAGTAGTGAGAACTGAAGTATACAGCTGTAAGCAGAACCATAGGTTAATCTTAAAAACATAAGGTTAGATGAAAAAATGAAGTTGTGGGAGCTGCATATCAATTGATATCCCATTTGAAGCCCGAGAACAAAGGAAATCAATATATTGCTCAGGAACGCTTAGGGATAAAAGTTTCCAAGGGTTAAAAAGTAGAGAAAAGGGCCAGGGATTTAGCTCAGTGGTTCCTCTGCCTGCCTCCCATGCACAAGGACCCAAGTTTGATCCCTGGTACCAACAATAACAACAACAGCAAATTATATTTATTAATATTCTAGTTATTAAGTTGGATAGTGGATCCATGAGTATTTGTTACTATTATTATGCCTCAAAATTCATGTATTTCTCAAAAAATCATGTATTCCTTTATCTACATACTATATATATATTTATATATTATATACAAATGATACATCATATTTTAAAATAAAGTTTATTATAAAGCAAAAACAGAATTAAATGTAGACAAATTTTCATTTAAAAAATTAGAAAAAAAAAGGAATGATCCAGCCTTGGATATAATGACTTCCAATCCTAGAAAAGGCCAAGCAGGACTAGAAAGTGTACATGTTAAGTATATCTGGGAGTGGACAATGGGGAGTGTGTGTGTGTGTGTGTGTGTGTGCGTGCATGCATGCATACATGCCTGGGGGGGCTCAACTAAACCTCTAAATTCTGTTCCTTTTCTAACTTCATCATACTCTATTTCTATATCATGATACATTTCTATCTAGATATAGCTGAAATTATGGGAAGAAAATTGAGTTTAAACTCTATGCTAAATAAAGGCTTTAAGCAATATATTATTGTGAGTTTCCTTTTCTTATAATCCTGTATTCATATTTTCATGTGACTTCACTCCACTTATTTTAATTCTCTGTGGGTTTGTGAAACACTCAAATAAATTGGCCGAGAGGAGGAACTGTAAAGCTGATATTGCAGCCAGAGTTGAATTTAATGCATTGGCTGGGTGGGGGAAGCTGAAGACACTGCTATGGTATATTAACTTTAAAAAATGATGCAGAATCCTTCTTTGAAGAGACTGATAAAACAGTTATTTTAAAAATATTAAAATGTTAATTTATGATGCTTTAGATACACTGCTCTACACATTAAGAAGACCTTACTTTAGAAAACTGGAAGATCAGGATGCCCTGGTCTGTATATCCGAGAGTGTTCCAGAACCAACCGTGGAATGGGTGTTCTGTGATTCGCAGGGTGAAAGGTATGGTGTGGGTTTTATTATTTTGCTTGTTTCTAATACAGCTGGCATCATATTGTATGTAAATTTTAATTTATTCTATTTCAGCAGAAAGCATTGGCTCCTTAAAGAATGAGTAGTATGAAATAAGAACCAAGATAGATTATGCAAAGGTGCAAATTCCCACTGATGAACGTCATTATATTGTATACCTAAAATGTACAAATAAAATAATTTAAAAAATGAGTAGTGTGGGTCTCACAGGGGCCAAGGTAAGGATTTTTCTTTTAAGCAAGAGAGCACTTGAGATGTCCTCAAATCAACTACAGATCCTCCCTGGGTGTTACACTATACAGATTAAAGTTCTTTTGAGTTACCAGACTGTTAATTCCCTGAGCATTTTGATTGGGGGAAAAAGAAAAATACTGATTTTAAGGTATAATTCCCAATTAAATGTTTAATTAATGGTTATTCTGTTTATTCTGAACAGCAGCTCACTATACTTGTGTAAGCATACACATTCTAGATCCAGATACCCTGGCTTTAAGAACTGGTTTGCTTACCAGCAGTGTAGCCTGGCAGTTACTTAAACTCTCTGTGCCTCATCAGAAGAATGGGGGTGGTGACAAGTGCTTACCTTAAAGGATTGTTGTGGTGATTTAATGCATGGATTATGTGTGAAGCAATGGCGGCCTGAGAGATAGTGTGCTCAGAATAAGTGCTTAATTTTATTTTCCGTGTGTGGCATAGCTGAGTTCTAAGAATTTGAACAACTTAAAATTATTTTCTTTGGGTTTTTATGTATTTTCAAACATTTCTAAATGAACTCAATTATTGTTGGTTTGTAATAAGCAACTCAAGGAAGGAGGCATAAACGAAGAAAAGAATACACTTGATTCAAGGGATAAAGAGAAGAGTGACTCAACACACTTCTGGTTTGGGAAAAATTATATGTAGAAAGCTCTCATTAGGGACGAAAGTCCGTTCTCAGCCGAGGTGGAAGAGAGAGCTACTCTATTGAACACCAAAATGCTTTTAGCCAACTTCCTTCAGGAGGATGTCTAGGCTCTCTTCCTCTGTTTGCTCTAGGAATTCTGGTTCCTATGGCATCTTCTTCTTGATCTTCTTTCTGTACTCTGAAGACAAAGATGCTGACCTTGTCCAGCTGCATTAAAACCCATATGGCCATAAAAAGTCATATCTTTTCTTTTCTCTTTGCTCTTTTTTTTCTTTTTTAGTTCTTCCTTTCCCTGTCTTTAAACAATAACCAAAATCCCCAACAAAAGAAAATTAAATTAATTAATTTTATTCCTTTAAGTAAGTAGAAATAATAAGTAAACATGAGTTGAAATAATAAGTACATAGTCCCCTTTGAACCCTTGTCTGAAACCATAGGTTTGGGTTTGTTCACCTTTTGACCTTTTCTATGGTGCTTTAAAACAGGCTCTTGAAGCTATAACTTTGTTTTTTTCCTTATTTGTTGTGTTCTGTTTTGCTTTGTTTTTATGTTGAGGACAGAGTGCAGATCCTTGAGCTTACTAGGCAAGTGCTCTACCTCTGAGCTTCATCCCAAACCCATACTTATAATTTTAAAATATAGTTAAAGGGCATTTATTTTATTTTCTGAATGCAGCTGTAAAGAAGAAAGCCCAGCTGTTGTTAAAAAGGAAGAAAAAGTACTTCATGAATTATTTGGAACAGATATAAGGTGCTGTGCAAGAAATGAACTGGGCAGAGAATGTACCAAGCTGTTCACAATAGGTAACACTGGGATATCATGTATGTCTATTGTCAGTGACTGACTGTTCCTTAGAAACTATTTAAGACTAACAGCATCTGCTTAGGTAATCACTCAACTTGAGAGATTCTTTCTTTTACACATTTTATTTTTTTATTTTATGTTAGTGCTGGGGATGGAATCCAGGGCCTTGGTACATGCTAAGAACATATTCTATCACTGATGTACACCCCAGCTCCTTTTATGTAATTTTAAATGTAACATTATATATTCTGTATGTATGATTTCTTCATCAATGAGTTGCAATCTCTAACAGATTAATTTATTAATATGGTTACTAACATTGGTTGGTATCCCAGCACTCAAGAAGCTGAGGCAGGAGGATCGCTGTGAGTTCAAGACAAGCCTGAACTATATAGTGAGTTCCAGGTCAGTCTCAACTACACAGTGAAACCCTGTCTCAAAACAGCACAAAATAATAAATAAATAAATAAAAATAAACTGAGAGTGGTGGCACACGCCTGTAACCCCAGCACTCGGGAGGCTGAGGCAGGAGGATCACCGTGAGTTTGAGACCAGCCTGGGCTGCATAGTAAGTTCCAGGCCAGTCTCAACTACATAGTGAGACCCTGTCTCAAAAAAAACCAAAAATAAATAAATAAATAAAAATAAATAAACATTGATTGGTGAAATCTTTGTTCTTTATTATGTTCAATAATGAAGACAAAATCACTCTTTATGCTTTTTGGGGTGTTTTTACCTTCTAGATCTAAATCAAACTCCTCAAACCATACTGCCCCAATTATTCTTGAAAGTGGGGGAACCCTTATGGATCAGGTGCAAAGCTGTTCATGTGAACCATGGATTTGGACTCACCTGGGAATTAGAAAACAAAGCCCTGGAAGAGGTAACATGACAATTTTATATTGCGAAAACTCAAGTATATTGAGCTAACAGTACAGGCTGAAAACATTAAATGCAAACTCTGTTTTATTAACACCTAGGGCAACTACTTTGAGATGAGTACCTATTCAACAAACAGAACTATGATACGGATTCTGTTTGCTTTTGTATCATCAGTGGGAAGAAACGACACTGGATATTACACTTGTTCTTCCTCAAAGCATCCCAGTCAGTCCGCTTTGGTTACCATCCTAGGTAATACAGGCTACTCATGCAATCTTTATTCATATTTCTAGATGCATTTAGTGTGGAATGTGAGGTAAGTAATACAAATTCTGGTTTCAATATAATTTTACCTTTAAAAAGCTGAAAAATCAATTGTGTTAGAATAGCTTTGCAAAGATGAGCTACCCATTCCCTTCCTTTTCCAATTAAACTGCACTCAGGAAAATGCCACTGTCCTTGTCCATACCACATTGGAATGTTTGTATAGTTTTGTCCTAGTCTCAGACCCTGCTTAATAAATACTTGTCCTAAGAACCTACCACTAGCACCGTGAGCCATGACTGTGAGAGAACTGTGCAAGCACTGGTATGAATGGATATATGGGTGGGCTGTGTAGGTTTTGAAAATGACGAGTCTTAAGCAATCTCAGATTGGGGAGTAGACGTTAGCTGTAATAAACATGCTAAGAAATGCTGTAATTCTTTTGGCAAGCTAATAAAGAAGTATTCCATAAGAAAATCTTGTGAGTGTTGCTAGCCAGATTTTTTTTTGTTTGTGCCTTGAGATTATTTTATGTGGGACCTGTTGCTGAGAGTTATGCTTGCTGAGAGCAGGGCCTTCCAAACTCTGTCCTTAGTATGTATATATTGGTCCAGCAGTGTGGCAGCCCTTCAACCTCTTGAAATTGTCTGTGACATCTGCAGGTATA